TCTCCCTCCCAGGGTTGTTGTGGGTATCAGATTAGATAATATTTGTAAAGCACTTAGCACGATGATTGACACATAGGAAGCCATTAATAAATGCTTATTTCCTTCCTTTCCCAAATCGGTATGTCTCTTCAACAGGTGACGAGGAAGAAAACTATCCTGACTTTAACTTACTGGCCATCATGTAAAGGTCCTGTGGGAAAACAGAATGAATGTTGACTTTGGAGTCAGAGGTTGCTGTTCAGTCATTTTCAGTTGTGTCTGACTCTTTCTGACTCCATATGGGGTTTTCTTGGCAAGATTTTGGGAATGGTTTGCCATTTTCTTCTCCAGCTCATTTTACAGATGAGGAAACTGAGGCAAACAGGGTTAAGTGACTTGCTCAGTGTCACACAGCTAGTAAGTGTCTGAGGCCAGATTTGAACTCGTCTTACTGACTCCAGAGCTGCTGCTTTATCTACTGTGCCACCTAGCTGCCCTCGAATCAGAGGACTTGGGTTCAAATCTCTTCCTCTGTCATTTACTGTATGATTTAAGGTAAGTCACTTAATCTCCCTAGGTCTCAGTTTGCTCATCCATCAAATGAGTGTATTGGATCAGAAGGCTGCTATGATTCCTTCTGGCTTTAAATCTGTGGCCCTGTGATAAAACACGTGACTAATTTTTTAAAGCACTGAAGCACAAATCTAATTACAAATGCTCATCTGTAAAATGGAAGGATTGGCCTTTGAAGTTCTTTCAGATTTATATCCATGATGCAATATAGAGAAGGGCTGAGAAGAACTTGTTCTTTGCTACTCCCTGGAAATAATTATTATTTTTCTCCTGCAAAGACAGAAATTAAAAAAAAAATGTAAAAATCCTAAACATCTGAGATAGAGTTCCAATCTAGTTGCTAAGGGCTTAAGCAGTTAGAATACTTCTTTCTTTTTCGGGCATGTTCCCATGAAATTTCAATGATTATTAGTGTCCTTTGAAATACTAATTATCTAGGAGGCTGACGACTATCCCCCCAAACCTATAATGGGAAATTATGCTTTAGCTGCATTAGTAGCCAAATGCTATGTTGCTAAAATAATATATTTACATGGCCATTCCCTCATCATTTTTGAGAGTTAAACTGAGGAGGGTCTAGTACTGTGAAAATTCAACTAAATACAGTTAAATTCTAAGAGAATCTCTTAATTCAATTCAATTTAACCAATATTTATTAAGCACCTACTTTGAACATCAGTCATGTGCAGTGGAAAGAACAGAAGATTTAGCACCAGAAAAGGTAGCTCTGATACTTACTACTTGTGTAATCTTGGGTATCCAGACCTCCGTGAGAGCTGATGGACAGCAGAGCCCATCAGAGTAATGAGTCTACCATAGATGTTGTACTCAGAGATAGCCAGGCCCAGGGAAAGGTGTGCGATGACATCAGCTGAAGATACCAGGGTTTGGAAGTGTCAGAGCTGGGAGCTGTCTCTCCACATGTGTGCCCCACGTATTCACCCTTCATACATGACCTCTAAGTATATTCATTCTCTCCACTGACAATGTCTGTTTGTGTGAGAGTGTGCCTAAATCCATGGTGCTGGGAATTGGCCCGGGGGTGAGGAGTAATGCTCTACTGTAAAACTTCTTACTATGTTCTTTCATTAAATAAATTTGCTTTACTTTAAATTTATTTTATTTTGTTAAATAAAATAAATTTATTTAAATAAATTAACTTTGAACTGTATCCTTTGACAAGCTAAAGAAAAAGTTAATACATTGGTGGGGACTTATGATCTATTATTTTAAGTAAATATGGACTCACAAAGTATCTTGAACCTGGTATAGCATGGATTGGGGGTTCCCCCCCCAGATGCTACAATTTATTTCCTTATAATATTGGAGAACTTATATTCTTCAGCAGAACTATTAGTTCAGATACAGACTTAAGGATCTGAAGCCAGAGAATCTAGGTTCAAATCCACAGACTGCTACTATATTGTCCAAGCACAATTGGACAAGCCCTTTAAATTCTCTGGACCCGAATTACTTCATTTGTAAAAGAAGGGGGTTGGACTAGGATTGGATTAAATGATCTCTGAGCTCCCTTGAAGCTTGAGATCAGGGTTGGGGAACCTGCAGCCTTGAGGCCACACGCGGTCCTCCAAGTCTTTGGGTGCGCACTTTTAACTGAGTCCAAGTTTTATAGAACAAATTCTTTTATTAAGGGGATTTGTTCTACGAAGTTTGGATTCAGTGAAAGGGGTGCACGTGAGGACCTAAAGGGCCACATGTGGACTGGAGGCAGCACCCCTGTTCTAGATTTATGGTCAAAAGGATTCTGAGGGATTCCTTTGAACTTTACCAAATTTAGGGAAAACTAAGAGAAGGGAGATTAGAGAAGGGGAAAGGGAGGTGAAGGAAGGGGAAAGGGAGGTGAAGGAAGGAAGATGGGAAGTGAGGGAAGGGGAAAGGGAGGTGAAGGAAGGGAGAAGAGAAAAAGAAAACAAATGTAGGTGCTTTATAGGAATAATCTTCCTGAAAAAAAAAGTTGGAAACAATAGCATGTATGAGTACTTTGCTCATACTGGCTTAGTTTAGTAGGATCTAAGAAGAAGCAAATATAGGTCTGCTGGAAGGACAGCAGACTTTCAGAAAGTGCTGGCTAATAATTAACACACAACCAGAACAAGACATTTTAGCAGTGAATTGTGCTTAAATAAGTCTAATTTTTTCCTTGGATATTTTATCTTATCCAACTTTCTCAGCCTTTGGAGAATAACAAAAAAGATAAATGTATCACATAAATCATTTTATCTGAATACTGAACTTATTTTCAATCTGCTTTTTAAAAAAGACAACGAAGACTATTTAGAAGTGTTTAAACTTTCAGGTGATTAATAACAAAAGAAATATCCAATGTTAAAAGCAAGTCAAAAATTTTCAGCTTTAATATCAGATAATTTTTTCATTCATAGATATCTGGTTGAGCCTTTTTCATATTTAGGAATAGTCATAAATTAAAGTTATTAAAGTTTGAAATTAAGGTAGTAAGAAAATAAGAAGTAAGTCATAGGGCCATTGATATAGAACTGGAAGGTATTTTTGAGATCATTGAGTCCAGCTCCTTAATTTCACACATGAGGAAAGTAAGGAACAAAGCAAATAAATGACTTGCCTAGGATCATGTGACTAATAAAGGTATGTAGCAGGATTTGAACTGAGGTCTTACTACAACTTCACTGGTTTATGCTGCCTTTTAAGTTGTTATAAGGGTCTGAACTCAATCTTGTCACTTTGGGCAATTATCTCAATGTTTTCATCATTCAGTTCTTCAATTGACAATATCAACTGCTTCACCAATCACACAAATCTTCTTTTCTGTTATTTCAGAGGCATTCTCTAGTCCTATTCCCAATGTTCTTATTCAGGTCTCAGTCAATCAACATTTAAGTACCCAGGATTCTACTACTAGAAATTAATTCTTTTGGATTAAACAGGACCCAAAAGGTTTAATTGTCTTTTAAAATGTAAATATTGGTGGTAAAGGTAGACATTATTACTAGCACTTTTGTATAAATTACATTATCAGATAATTTTTCTTCGAAAAACTGGTTAGACAAAAGGGTAGGTGGAATCAATTTAGAGTAGAGAGACCAGAGAGGAAAACAGAGGCACCTTCATCTCCCAAATAAACCATTCTACTTCACAAAATTGACTTACAGCCAGTCCTGCCCCATGCTACTAAGGAGTGGTCTTTATGTGGAAAAACCAAGTTAATGCTTCACATAAACATTGGTATTAGGATTATTCATAAATATTCACTTCACCAACACAAATTCATTAAAGAGAACTTTCTTTCCTTGTTGAATTCAGAATAATCTCCATAAGAATGAGAGCAGGATACAAATGTTACATGTAATTTATTTGCTTTGCTTATGTTCAGAACAAGTTTTTTTTTTAAAAAGAAACACAAAAGCAAGTACATGGATCTTAAGAAGTACTTATTTCAATACTTAAGGATTAAATTCACAATTCATGGCATCATGTGTCATTAAAGTAGGACTTTGGTGGAAGTAAAGTAGTTCACTTAACAAAAATATTAAGATTTATTGACCTCTAAGTTTTATCATCCATACAAGATGTATGTACTAATCAGCCATGTAATCCACATTGACTGTCTGTACAACTGCCTACCATAGCTGCACAATAGATATTGTTTATCTATGAAGATTTTCCTGTGTGGATAGGTAGGCCAAGCTTAACGTGTGTGTGTGTGTGTGTGTGTGTGTGTGTGTGTGTGTGTATGTGTGTGTGTGTGTGTGTGAAGGTACAGTGTGTCCTACTGTGGCTGATCAGACCAATACAAACTTGGAATGCTCTGCCACAGGTTGGGCACAAAGAGTCCATATGAACATTGGGGTGGATTCTCTAAATTTGCACATCTTGCATTTCTTTTGAGCTACTTCAATCCTGCTTTGTTCATAGAGCACACACAGCACCTTCTCTGATGAGGGCACGCCATGCTGGGTGATCCTGTGCCAGTATCTCTCATGTCACACAATCAATTCCAAAGTTCTTGAGGCCTTGAGAGTGTGCTTGTATTGTTTCTTCTGACCACTATGTGAACGCTTCCCCTGTGAGTTCTCCATAAAATAGTCTTTTTGGCAAGCATACATTTTGCATTTGAATAACATGGCCAGCCTATCAGAGTTGTGCTCTCTGAAATAGAGTTTGAAATCTTGGCAATTTAGTTTGAGAAAGGACCTCAGTGTCTGATATCTTATCCTGCTAGGTGATCTTGAAACTCTTCCTAAGACAATTTAAATGGAAGCGACTCTGTTTCCTGGCATGGTGCTGGTATGCTGTCCAAGTTTCACAGGCATACAACAATGTTGTCTGTTGAACAGATGTTGTACAGAGCACAGATGCTGTACAGATATTGTACAGAGCACAATGGCTCTGTAGACTTTCAGTTTGGCAGTCAGTCTAATACCTCTTCTCTCCCACACTTTCCTTCACAGCCTCCCTAACACTCTGGCAATGAGTGCATTAACCTTATTATCAATATGTACATCCCTGGAAAGAATACTACCAAGGTAAGTGAACTTATCCACAGCATTCAAAACTTCTCCATTTGCTGTAACTGATGGTTACACATATGGATGGTGTGGTGATGGCTGATGGAGCACCTATGTTTTCTTGGTGTTAATTGTCAGGCCAAAATTTTATATAATATAATATATTATATATATATACACAGATACATATATATGTGTGTGTGTGTGTGTGTGTGTGTGTGTATATATAATAGATCTGACACAGGAAGCTTTACAACGTTCCAGGGATGGCATTGTTCCATAAGAACAATGTCATTCAGAAATATGAGCATCTGGAGGGCCTTACCATCTTTAGGGAATATAAAACTTCCACTTGGATTCTCTTCTGGACATCTTTCATTATGGTTTCAAAGACACGTAGTAAACAGATCTTTCTGTTTTATGACTTTTTTTCATCAAAGGGGCCATCGTCAAAATAGTATGGGATCAAGGAAAGAGCTGAGTAAATGATAGGTCAGGACTGGTAAGCAATATTTTGCCTATATTTACTCCTGAACCTATCAGGGCAATGCAGAAGAACAAATTGGTATGATCATTCTCTTTGATGACACATTTCTTTATATCTGAGCCTTAGTAAATGGGTGGGTTTGTGGTCTTTATTTCTTGGGTCTGGAGTCAGGAAGACTTGAGTTCAAATTTGACCCCTGCCACTTACTAGCTGTGTGACCTTGGGCAAGTTACTTATTTCCTCCACTGTGAAAAGGAGTGATAGCACCTACTTCTCTGGGTTGTTATGAGGACCAAAAGAGAAAATATTTGTAGAGTACTTGGCACGGTGCCTGTCATATAGTAAATGCCAGACAAATGTTAGCTATCCTCCTCCTCCTCATCGTGGCATTATAGGTGTTTGGATTTGGTACAGAATAAATATGTATGTGATCTTATTGCCAGTTTTCCTGAAAATATACCGAGTGATGGGAAGATTTTGCTTCTGTTTCTTGGTGAATAACCCCTTGATCCTGAAGAACTTTGGTGAAGTCTTTCATATGGTAAAAAGGTTACTAAAACACAAAGGCCAAAATACCTGCACTACAATGGGAAAGGAAAATCAGTTTGTGTGATATGGTTTAATATTCTTTTGGAGTTATTCTGAATTTTAAAACATTTACAGTAGAGTATAATTATTCTTTAGAGCTATTATGAATTCCTATACCATTAGAAATGCCCATTTTAAGATGTAGGAGCTATAACCAGAGCTCCCCTTGTCAAACCAAGAGGGTGAAAAGATACAACCTTTGTTCTCACCTTAAAAACATTTCTTTGTGGAAGGTGTGGACATCCCCAATAAATGAAACCACACTGAAGTTATTTTTCACATTGCTTTCTCAGAGTATGGGGAGTACCCTTGGCCTCCATACTCGTTGACTCATTAATACCTCATTGAAGATGATTGATTGGGTCATACTGTTGTAGATATGAGCCATGCCCTTGGTCCCCTGCCTATAAAATGAAACATACCAATCTAGAAGAAAAATGAGAGATCTAGAATTTTATAGACATCATCTTTCTTGGTAAGTGCCTTTTGTGTCTGCTTTGACACATCTCACAATTTTGAGGTTGTCTTGACGACTGTATTTCCATCCACAGAAGAAAAGCTAAATGATGGATCACACTTGTGCGTAGGCTTGGATCCATTTTAAGTGGATCCCTTTTGGATTATTCACTCATTCATCTATCTGTTTATTCCTTCATTTGCTTACTCATCTATTTCTTTATTCATTCATTACTCATTCAGGCATGATTTCATTCATCTATCAATTTGTTTGTATACTTAAACCAGCAGTGAAAGTCACTCTGGGACACTAACTTCCTGAGCAGAAGAAACATATACTAAATGTAGTGAATAATAACCTTTGAATATTGAGTCGACAGTTTTTTAAAATATATATTACTCCCTTTATAACTCGGTGGAGACCTTGCCACCTCCACTCTAAGAGGTGGGTGGTCTGTAGATCATTCTCAGGACAATCATTATTAGCAGCTATACTGTGCAGCCCACCTTCCCTGAAACAACAGCTACAGTCCAAGGTTATTGAATACCTGTCATTCTTAAGCTAATTGAAAGAAGCTGACCAGCCCAGGCATCCTATCCTGAAAGTAGTCATCTGTGTCTAAGATTGCTGAGGGTGGTGAATATGTATCAAGGCTGAGCTTTCCAAAGGACCAATCCTTGATTCAGAAAGACTGCCTATGAACTCAGCCATATGTACCTTGACCAATTAACACTCTTAAAACCTTCAATATCAGATTGAAGATGACATTTTGTGGATAAACTGCATAAGAAGTGGATTCTCTAATTAAGTAAAAGCAACTCAGTCTCAGATTGTACTCTGCCAAGGAGGGAAAAACATTGCTTTCAATTCCAACAGACATTGTGTCATTTCTCTCCTCCCTTTCATGGCTATACAAACTTCATGAGAAAACCTTCTACAACTATTCTCTTTTCACTTGCCTCTAAACCCTTTATGGTCTGGCTTTTGACCTCACATTCAACTGAAACTGCTCTCTCAAAAGTTACCAATGTCTCTTAACTTACAAATCTAATGATCTTTTAAAAATCTTCATTTTATTGTATCCTATAAAATTCTGGAAAAAACTAAAATTCTCTGTAGCCTTCAACACTATCAGCCTCTTCTACCCTTCTAGTATCTAGATTTTGGAGACAGTATTCTTTCCTGGCCCTCTTTCTACTTGTCTGTTTTTGTGGGGGTTTTTTTGTGTGTGTGTTTGTCTTAGGCAATTAGGGTTAAGTGACTTGCCCAGGGTCACACAGCTGGTAAGTGTCAAGTGTTTGGTCTGAGGCCAGATTTGAACTCAGGTCCTCCTGACTTCAGGGCCAGTGCTCTATCCATTCTTTCTACCTGTCTGACCAATCCTTCTCAGTACTTCTCCTCTGCTGAACCTCCAAGTCACACCCACTAACCTTGTGCTTCCCCTAGAATCCATCCTTGTTCCTCTTCTCTTCTTCCTCTGTACTGTCTTGCTTGGTGATCCTTCAGCTCATGAGTTCAGCTATCAACTCTATGAAGATGGTTTTCTAACCTATATATCCAGGTGTTATCCTTTTCCTGACCTCCAATCTCACATTACCAATTGCCTATTAAACATCTTGAAATGGATATTTGTAAATATCTCAAACTCCACATATCTAAAACGGAACTCATTATTTTTGCCCCTGGGGGCAGCTAGGTGGCACAGTGGATAGAGCACCAGCCCTGAAGTCAGGAGGACCTGAGTTCAAATCTGGCCTCAGACCAAACACTTGACACTTACTAGCTGTGTGACCCTGGACAAGTCACTTAACCCCAATTGCCTAAAAAGAAAAAAAAATAAAAATAAAAAAAGTAAAAAAAATATTTTTGCCCCCACACTATGCCTGCTTCCCATTCCTCCTGTTACTGTTGATAGCACTGCAGCCTTCTGGTCACCCAGGCTTGCAACCTTAGTATCGTCTTGACTCCTCACTCACGTCCACCCCACATATGCAATCTGTAGATAAGGCTTGTAGTTTGTACTTTCACATCTCTTGTATATGTCTCCTTTTCATTCATGTGGCCATTACCTTGGTGCAGACCCTCATTACCTCAAGCCACACAGATAGTAAGTATCTGTGGCCATATTTGAGCTTAGGTATTCCTGACTTCAATCCTAGCTGTCTATCCACTGAGCCATCTAGCAGCCTCTTTGTTGTGGTTATTGTTATTTTTTTAATTGTCCATGATTCTTTGTGACTTTTCTTGGTCAGAGATACTGGAGTGGTTTGCCATTTCCTTCTCCAGCTCATTTTACAGATCAGAAAACTGAGGCAGACTACTGAATTGCCCATATAATATTTAGGTTATCTTAAGTACATTTTTTTTATTAAAAAAAAAACCAGCAGGGACATTTCATCTGGAAAGAGAATGAAGTTATTAAGCCAGTCTAGGAACTCCCTAAATTGACCATTTTGTCCATAAGTTTTGTTTTCCAAAAATTGTTGAAAAAATATTTTAACTTAAAAAGGATCTGCTGGCAAATTTTTCAAAAACTGCAAACTCTTAAATAACCTGAATTTTTTTTAGTACTAGCTATTTTTATGAGTAAAGCAAATCATAAGTAAGCAAGTAGCTATCAGATAGTAAATTTAAAAAGGAGCTTCCAGGGAAACTCTTGGGGTCAACCTAATCTTCTATATCTCCTCCATCTATAGTACGGTAGATCATAACTGATGTCCCTTATTTGTAAATTGGTAATATCTGCCCTAATATACCTCATAAGGGTAGAGTAAGTATCAAGTCAGATAATGAAATGTGAAAGCAAACACAATACAAATACAATCTATTATGGTCATAATTACCAGCCTGCAGCAATGCAAAATTCTTAATCTTGAAAGTATAAAGTGAATCATTGAGGGCACCACTGTAGGGGGAAAGTATGTCATATGGGTCTGGTTGAAGGCAGTGGGGATGGTGACTCTAAAGAAGAGAAGGCTTGGAGGAAATAGGATGGCTGTCTTTGAGTATACAAAAAGGAAATCATGGAAGAGGGATTAGATTTTTTTCTACTTGGGAGCAATGGATGGAGACACCGAGGAGGATTTTAGTTTGACACAGGAAAAGTTTTCCAAGAGTTAGAACCATCCAAAAGTGTCTCCAGGGGTTTTTGTTCCTCCTTCAAGCCTTCAAAGCATAGTAGATTGTGTGCTGGGCTTGGAGTCAGGAAGATCTGAGTCCAAAGCTGGCTTCAATTACTTACTAGTTGTGTGACCCTGGGCAAGTCAACTTCTGTCTCAGTTTCTTCAGCTGTAAAATTGGTGTTAAAATAACACCTACCTCCCAGGGTTGTTATGAGGATCAAATGAGATAATATTTGTCAAGAACTTAGCACAGTGCCTAACACATAGGAAGTACCTAATAAATACTTAT